TCTGCAAGCTTCAGAGCCTCTCTGGAGCGGGCCAGGCTACAAAATGGGTTTATTGAGGTGGTGTCTAGTGTAGGATTAGGGGACATAATCTGTGTCTGTACCTGTCCTCAAAAAACTTGAGGTCCTGGCAGGGACCTTTGCAGGGAGGGGCGACAATGTCAAGATGGGAGCTGTAACGATGGGATCGAACCCTTTTTATCTCCATCATGATCCTGCTCCCCCCTCTGTCCCTGTCCAGTTTGGGAATGTGGCTCTTGGAATGTCATACAAAAATTGGTGCAGCCCTCAAACTTTTAGAAGTTGTGCATCTCTGATTTAAAGAAGCAGCTAGGAACAGATGGAAAAGATGGGACTTCCTGCAGGGTTCTTGCAGCGTCCTTGAATGTATTCATTTACACATTTTTGCAATTACAGTTTCTGGATGACGATGTCACCTTCTCCCTCAAGAAGCTACCTGAATGTTATTAATCTTATCACCCAGCAGAGGGTTAATTATATGTTTGATTTGTTGTATTTCTATCCCATGTCTCCCCCTGAGTGCTCATTCCAGAATGGATAGCATTTTCTTTTTCTCTTTACCCCCAAAACAACCCTGAGAGGTGGGTTAGGCTGTCACTAGAGAGAGTGACTGGATTCACTGAATCACCCAGTGAATTTCCAAGGCTGAAGGAGGACTCAAACATGGTGCTTCCAAGTCATTGTCCAACACCTTCATCACTGTGCTTTCCTTTCAGCCTATGACACACTAACTGCTGAGAAACAGAAGACTACAGGGTCACGCCTTATCCTAGGCATCTGCTTGCCCATTGTTGGTGACACAATGAGCTCTGTTAATCCAGTTTAAGTGTCCTTCAAACATCTGGATGTTCTCAGCTTCCTAAGAACCCCATGGAATCTTCCAAACAAGGCGGATAGTCACTATGGAGAGGACCTTGCCTGCACCTGAATCTGGGGTCACTTTCTTCAAGGAGACTTGCCTGGCACCAGTCTTGCTGTCTCTGAAGGCAGCAGGGAAGGTGAGGAGTAGTGCGGTCAAGAGATACACTTCTACCCCCTTCTTGCAAAGAAACAAGGGGCTCTTAAAAGGGGGGTTCCTCTGCCATTTGGTCATTGCTGTCATGAAACCAGGCCCAGAGTTTGTACAACTCAGCAGTGCTTCAGCTCCTGGAAGAGTTCAAAGGGCAACAACGTCATTGCCAATGGGTGCCCTTTAAACGGGATTCAGTCCCTGGGGCTCAAACCATCCTCTCCATGCGGTGTTCGCTTTGAGGTTCTCACTCTGAATTCTTCTCTCTTGGATTTATTTTTTCATACTAAAGTCCGAGTCCCAATCTCCAACAGTATGGATAAGCCAGACACATGTCAAAGAAATGTAGCTGGGCCATGCATCTGCAAGAGGGGGTCAAAAAAGTCAAGATGGCGGCTGCCCCGTGCAATCAAAGCTTCACCTCTCCTTAATGTGTGTCACCCCTGGTGCCATGCGATCCTTGAGTTTTTCTTCTGGGTTAGCAGCTCTTCTGTTGTGATTATAACCACTACAAATAACTTCTATTACTTATGAATGCGTTTCATTCCTTTTACTGAATAACAACAACTTTCATATAACACGCTGACATATTTTGCCAATTATAGATTAAATCAAATCATTACATTGATCCATTTCAGTAATATTCAGAGGGATGAGCCAAATATTGTTATTCGGAAACATCCTTCCCCTTGCTTTGATGTTTAAAAAATCCATTATATGAAAAAGTTACATGCTACTCCAAGAGATATAGCAAGTGGAATCCTCTGAAATATTTATGCAGAAAGTTCAATGAAGTCCAAGGAAAATTGCAATCCAGTGTTCATTAAAACCACCGGGGTTTATTCCAGCGAAAGTCCCTGTTATACGCTCAGGCCCACCCAACAGGGTGAACGAGGCTAAAATGGAATTGGGAAATGTGGGCTTCAGCGTATTGGGGAAACGATGCATTAAACTGTTGTAAGATGATCATGCTAGGCCAAATGCTTTATTTGTTGGGGCACAGCATGTTGTTAACCTGAGTTAAGCAGGTTGTAAGCATGCAGACAGCATGCACAAGCAAGGCAAAGGAGTGTAGAACAGGAAAACGGTGTCAAACAGCAGCGGTTCGATCAGGAATCTTTAAGAATCTTTTATCTCCCTCTTCATCCCACGCCTAGATGTTTGTTCTCTCAACACGTTGCATGAACGGCCCATCATGTTACGCCATCCTCGGACTGATTAGTTTGCACACGACTTGTTACAGGGGCACAGCAATGATTATTCATATCATTTATTATTTACTTAAATGCACTGGCTGCCCCACTCCAGTGGACTCTGTGTTTGGGTTGGTTGACATGTTAGTGTGTTCCCTGCTGGAATTAATCTGGACTGAACCCAGCTCAAAGTCTGTTCAGGTGGAGCTCCTGGAGACTTCAGAGACACGTCCAAGCAGTTCTCTTGGCAACAAGGAAGGGGGTTGCCATTGCCTTCTTCCAGGAGAGGGGTGTCCCTGGGGATTGGGTCAAAAAGGTCAAGAAGGCAGCCACAACCATGTGATTGAAGCTCCGTCCCAAGAAACTTCAATTGTATGATTGTGGCTTCCTTCTTGGCTTTTATGACCTAGTCCCCATGGACACCTCCATTGTAGGACATTTCTTCTCCAGCCTAGCCTACAGCCCTGGAGATTCCTAATGGTCTCCCGCTCAGGCCCGAACCAGATCAGATCCTGCTTAGCTATTCTGAGACCAGCCAAGGGTAGTTACACACCGTCACCAGCTGTGATCCTTAAAAATAAGGACCCACGCAACGCTTGGGGATGCTACGGAGGGAGGTCTCCTGGTGACAAGGTGGAAAGGGCTGGCTGTTGTCTTCTTCTGGGTGAATGTTTGGCTTCCCAATCTAGACTAACCCTCAGAATGCCCTTGTGGTCTCCCTTCCAAATCTGTGCCAGCCCTCACCTTGCACAGTTCGAAAGTAGGCCAGATGCAACCACCTGCTGCACCTCTTCCTTCTCACCTTGTCTAAATTCAGGATTCCCAGGTACAATTTTGTGTATTTTCACAGGAAAACAAGGCCCCTTGGTTTACAGCAGTGTTTTTTTCAAACTCGGCGACTTTAAGATGGGTGGACTTCAACTCCCAGAATTCCCCAGCCAGCTGGCTGGGGAATTCTGGGAGTTGAAGTCCACCCATCTTAAAGTCGCCGAGTTTGAAAAAAACACTGCTGTAAACCAAGGGGCACAGAAGACAGAAGAGGAAAACGAAAATAAAAAAAACAGAATTCCGGCCCCTTGGTTTACAGCAGTGTTTTTTTCAAACTCGGCGACTTTAAGATGGGTGGACTTCAACTCCCAGAATTCCCCAGCCAGCTGGCTGGGGAATTCTGGGAGTTGAAGTCCACCCATCTTAAAGTTGCTGAGTTTGAAAAACACTGGTTGACAGCAAGATTTACGGCTAAAGGAAGCAAGCATGGCATCTGTAAGGGGAAAAACGGTTTATAGTTAGACAGACAGACTGCTGGAATAAAACTGCAAAGGATTAGGCCACACATCAATGTTAAGCAACATAATTCGGAGAGACAGCCTGGCAAAATCATCACAACCCCAGGGTGTGCAATGGCATTTTTTTTTATGGGTGTTTTCTTAACATATCAAGCGGAGGGGCAACACGGAAAAAATCACAGGAAAGGGGGAGGCGAAAAAGGGTAATTGGCCTGCGGAAGTCGAAGGTTCCTACAGCAGACCTCTTATGGACTTTTTGCGTAAGAAAGAAAATGATTTTGTGACTTGGGGTTTTGAGGATTAGAAAGAATAGGCTACGGAAAGGAGGGAATTATGATGAAATCTGGGAGAGAGGGTTGGATTAGCATCGTATGTATAACTGCCGAGAGGAGGATCAAAGCCACACCACACACACACACACACACACAGTCACACAGACAGACAGACAGACAAACACACACACACACACACACACACAATTAAGCAGGAAGCTTTTTTAAATAGTCTTTATTAAACGACTTTACATAGATAACAAGAAATACACCCAAAGAAAGGAAAAATACAGTAAAGGAAATGTGAAAAAGAAAAGCAAAAGGGAACAGAAGACAGAAGAGGAAAACGAAAATAAAAAAAACAGAATTCCCTGTTCTGTTCTTTTCCTATTTTCTACCTTCTTTTCTCTTTTGCTTTTCTTTTTCACATTTCCTTTACTGTATTTCCCCCCCCTTTCTTTGAATGCATCTCTTATTATCTATGTAAAATCTTTGAATTAAAAAGAGAGCTTCCCGCACCGAAAGTTGCGCCACTCTCCAGAGCCGCGTTTCGCAAGCTCGGAAGGGCGGACTTCAACCCCCAGAAGGCCTTGGGAGGGCCGACCAGAAGGGCGCCCGGCCACGCGGCGAGCGGCCACGCGTACGGGCGGCGCGCGCGAGGCATCCT